AGAATTCATGAATAAATTTGTTAATTAATCTATGAGAACAGAAAGAGTGGAATGAAATGAAGAAATCAGTACCAGACATAGAAGTGGAAGTGGAATCAGTAAAGAAAATACAAACTGAGGGGAAACTGGAAAAGAAAAAATTAGGAACTTAAGCAGGAACCTCAGAGGCAAGCCTCACTGACAGAATACAAGAGATGGAAGAGAGAATCTCAGGCATTGAAGATAAGACAGAAGAAACAGATACCTTGGCCAAAAACAAAAAACAGAAAACCAAAAACAAACAACAAAAAAAACCCAGGTACAAAACATCCAAGAAATCTGGAACACTATGAAAAGACCAGATCTCTGGATAATAGAAATAGAGGAAGAAAAAGAAACCTGAGTCAGAAGCACAGAAAATATTTTCAACAAAATCATAGAAGAAAATTTCCCTAACCTAAAGAAGGAGGTGACTATGAAGGTGCAAGAAACATACAGAACACCAAATAGACTAAACCAGAAATGAAATTCTCAAAACAAAGAAAAATATTAAATCTGCAAAAGAAAAAAGGCCAACTAACATGTAAAAGCAGACCTGTTAGAATAGCACCTGACTTCTCAATGGAGATTTGGAAACCCAGAAGGGCCTGGACAGATGCTCTACAGATTCTAAGAGACCACAGATACCAACCCAGACTACTAAACTCAGAAAAACTTTCAAAAACAATAAATGAAAAAAGGAAGTCATTCCGTGATAAAAACCAAATTCAATCGGTATCTATTTACAAATCCAGCCCCACAAAAGGCACTAGCAAAACTTCAACCTGAAAAAATTAACCACACTCAAGAAAATATCTGACTTCAAACAAAAACCAAACATGAGAGATAGGGAAGGACACTACATACTCAAAGGAAAAATTCACCAAGAGGATATTGCAATTCTGAACATCTGTGCACCAAACACAGGGCACCCATGTTCATAAAATAAACACTACTACTGCTAAAATCACATATTTAGTGACAGTGGGTGACTTCAATACCTCCTTCATGCCATATACAAGTCATCCAGACAAAAACTAAACAGAGAAATGCAGGATCTTACTGGTGTCATAAAACAAATAGACTTATCAGATTTACAGAACATTCCAAGTAAACACGAAAGATTATACCTTCTTCTCAGCACTCCATGGAACTTTCTCCAAAAGTGACCACACACTTGGATACAAATCAAGTCTAAACACATACAAGAAAATTTAAATAACTCCCTGTATCCTGCAGACCACCACATACTAAAGCTGGATAGAAACAACAGAAAGCTTACAAACTCATAGAAACTGAATAATTCCCTACTGAATGAAAAATGGATCAAGAAAGAAATTTAAAACTTTTTAGAACTGAATGAAAGTGAAAACACAACATACCAAACTTATGGGACATGATGAAAGTAGTTCTAAGAGGCAGTTCATAGCACCAAGTACCTACCTACATTAAAACTTTATTTTTGAGAGATCACAAATTAGTAACTTAACAGCTCACCTGAACACTCTATAACAAAAAGAAGAAATCACACTAGAAAGTGTAGAGAGCAAGAAATAAACTCAGGGCTGAAATCAATAAGTAGAAACAAAAAATAATGCAAAGAATCAATGAAACTAAGAGTTGGTTCTTTGAGAAAAGGCAGTAATTGTGACAAACTCTTAGCCAAAATGCCTGTTTTAGTGTTTCTATTGCTGTGATGAAACACTATTCCTGAGCAATGGAGGAGAGGAAAGGGTTTATTTGACTTACACTTCCACATCATAGTCCATTACTGAAGGTCAGGACAGGAACTCAAACAGGGCAGGAGCGTCGAGACAAAAGCTGACACAGAGGCCATGGAGTGGTGCCTTACTGGCTTGCTCCACATGGCTTGCTCAGCCTGCTTTCTTACAGAACCCAGATCCACCAGCCCACGCATGGCACCACTCACAATGGGTTGGGCCCTTCATATCAATCACTAATTGAGGAATGTCCTCCAGCGGGATCTTATGAAGGTATTTTCTCAGCTGAGGCTCCTTCCTCTCTGATGACTCTAACTTGTGTCAAGTTGACCTAAAACTAGCCAAGACCTTACCTAAAAGACAGAGGCCGAAAATCCAAATTAACGAAATTAGAGATGAAAAGGAGGACATAACAGATACTAAGAAAATCCAGAGAGAGACAGAATCATAAGGACAAACCTGTACTCTTCCGAATTGGAAACTCTAAAAGAAATGGGTAATTTCTCAATAAATATCACCTACCAAAGTTAAATCAAGATGATATAAGTAATTTAAATGGATTCCTAGTGCAACAGAAGAAGTAATTAAAAGTCTACCAAACAAAAAGAGCCCAAGGCCAGAGGTTTTAGTGCAGAATTCTACCAGACTTTCAAAGAAGAATGAATTCCAATACTCCTCAAATTATTCCACAAAATAGAAACAGAAGGAACATTGCCAAATTCTTTTTATGAAGCCAGAGTTACCCTGATACCCAAACCACACAAAGGTCCAACAAAGAAAGAGAATTACAAATCAATTTCCCTTATGAACATAGATGCAAATATTCCCCGTAAAGTATTTGAGAATTGAATACAAGAACACATCAAAAAGATCATTCACCATGATGTTGGATGGTACTCTGTTTGAGATATGCATACAACTCAGCTTCCATCTACAGTGGTAACTTACATGGAAGATGTGGGAGTAACCAACCAACATCTGTTTGGATTTAAGGCCCACTCCATGAGATGGAGCCCATCTGACACTACTCAGGTGTCAAAAACATGAGGCTAGAAGCCAGGGACCTAGGAGAAAATCAAATAAAAGATTGCTACTAAGAGAAAGTAGCAATTAAATGACTCCCGGAAGCATTCTGCTATACTCATAGATCAGTTCCTTGCTCAGCTATCATCAGAGACGCTTCCTCCTGCAGTAGATGGGAACAAATACAGAGACCTACAGATGGCAATGTACAGAGAGCCAGAGAGCTTATAACTCTAAACAAGATGTCTCCATGAAATCTGTTCCCTCAGGCCTCAGGGAACACTGTGGAAAAGATGGTAAAAGCCAGTGAGAATGGAGGACACCAGGGAACAAGGCCTTCTAAACACAGCACCACCAACACACAAATAAACTCACAGGGACAGGCAGCATGCACAGAGCCTGCACGGGTCTCCACCAGACTGGGTACTAGATACCTGTTCTGTTTTGTTTTCTAATAAGAAAGAGAAAGAAAGAATATAGATTTGTATGGGAGGGGAGGTGGGAGAATCTGGGAGTAGTAGGGGAGCTATAATCAGAATATTATATGAGAAATCTATTTTCAATAAAAGAAAAAAGGGGGAAAGCCTTTTTAAATCTACTTATTTATTTGGAGATAGGGTTTCACTATGTAGCCTAGAACTGGAATTATAGGCTGCACCTGTAGGCTGGCCTGGAATTCCCAGAGATATGCCTATCTCTGCCTCCCACATACTGGGCTTAAAGGTATGTGCCACTATGCTGGGCAAAGAAAATTGTCAAAGAAGAAACAGCTTACAGCATGGGAGAAAACCTTTATTTTTTATTGAAAATAGAGCAAGGTATTGAGTTCAAAGTGTGAGGAGGTGGGGATAATCCAGGAAGAGATGGAGCAGGTGAAACTGTGATCCTAATATGTTGTATGGAAAAATGATTTTCAGTTTCAGTTTTAAAAGAAAGAAATCGGAGTTAGACAGTTTGAATTAAAATCCAGGTTTTTTTTTTTATTTCATGGCTGGTGGCATCAAGAATGAGTCTCTTAGCCAGGCAGTGGTGGCGCACAACTTTAATTCCAGCACTCAGAGGCAAAGGCAGATGGATCTCTGTGAGTTTGAGGCCAGCCTGGTCTACAGAGCAAGTTCTAGGACAGCTAGGGCTACATAGACAAACCTGTCTCAAACAAAGAGTCTCTTTCCCCACTGATAAACTTTCCCACCTATAAAATGTTTATTGTCTTTTAACATATGTATTTAAATTTTCATGGTCTTCCCCTCAATCCAAAGATAACTACGGAAGGTGACTCTCAATCAGTAGTGACTGACTCTAAAGACATGACCAAATCTCTTACCTCTTTCAAAGGTACTTTAAAGACAGCCTTCAAGTTTAACCTTGCCATTATAAAATAATTCCTGTTTATGACTATCCCAGTGTTTGTGTATATGGGTAGTATTTATATGAATTGCTATGAAATGCATCTTGTTCTAAATAAAACCTTAAATATTAAATAGTAAAGTTAATATATAATAAAATAATGTACCTATTTGTAAAGAAGAAAAAAAAGAACATCCCAAAGGTCCCTTCTGCTTTCATCTCTCCAATAAAACACCATCCAGCGGTGTTAAATTATTTTTCTTTCTGCTACTCTCTTCTTGATATTTAAAATGTAGAAAATATTACTTCTAATGAAAAACAGAAAAGGCGACCCACTTGGATTCGCCCATACTTCTAATTTTTTACCTGCAGCTAAGGGAAGAAGAGATGGCCGGGCCAGGGGCGGGCCGGGTAAATTTGGTCTATAGCGGGTCTGACAGAAGGTTGGGCCTAGGGACAGGACAGCTAAGAGATTGGCAATAGTGACTGGACCTTGAGAAGATTGGAGAAGGGGTGGGGCCACAGAGGGGGCGTGGCCATCCAGCTAGGAGGGCGTGGCTAGGGGCGGGCCGGGTAGAAAGTTAGAGCTTGGGGCGGACTAGCTGGCTAAGAGGGCGGAGCTAGGGGCAGGCAGGGTAGAAGGTTGGAGGTAGGGGCAGGCCTGGATAGAGGGCGGCTCTGAGGGGCGGGGCATCTTGGTGGGCGGGGATAGAGGCGGACTGGCAGGTGAAAGAGGAATTAGGAGAGGCCCAGCCGGCTAAAGGGCGGGGCGGTAGGTGGGTTCCCGCCGGTTAAGGCCGAGCGAAGGGCGGGCCCACAGGGCCAGGGGCGGAGCGATAGTGTCCCGATGGGGCGGGGCTGGGGGCGGAGCCGCACGGCGCGCTGACGTCAGAGCAGGCTGCGACGCCGGCGGTGGGCCAGAGCCGAGGCGGCGGTGCTGTGTAGCCCGGTTGTGTCTGGGCAGCCGCAGGCCGGAGCATCTGGCCCAGCGTCGGCGGCTCCGGGGCGGGGGCGCCAGCGGCGAAGCCCCCTCCCCGGGGAGGCGGGGCCGAGCCGGCGCTGGGGAATCATGCATCAGAAGCTGCTGAAGAGCGCACACTACATCGAGCTGGGCAGCTACCAGTACTGGCCGGTCCTGGTGCCCCGGGGCATCCGCCTCTACACCTACGAACAGATCCCCGTGTCCCTCAAAGATAACCCCTACATCACCGACGGCTACCGGGCCTACCTGCCTTCCAGGCTGTGTATCAAAAGGTACAGTGACTGCACCGTGCGGCGCGTCCTCTCCTCTCACGCTTTTTTGTCTGGTCTCCCCGCTTTTCTCCGTGCGCTTCATTTCCTCACCTCCGGGCCCTTTAATCTTTCTGCTGCCTTAGCTCTCCTCCGGGGGTCCTTGATCACGAGATAACGATACTAACAGTGGTCACCGTTGTCTTCTCCAGTAGCCTTTTTGTTTACAAAGCGCTTTTGCATTCTTTATTCCAGTTGGTACTCACTGGCGATATGGGTAGGAGTCTACACCCACTGACAATGGGCGAACCTTATCTGCTTTGTGTATACCTGAGCTTTGTTTCTAAACCAGCACTGTGGGAATTCAGTCGTGTTGGCCAGCTGAATGCCTGTATAATAGCAGACAAGTCCGGGGTGCTGTGTATACGAATGTGGGAAGCCTTGATTCCTTCAGTCACCAAGCAGATGTTTATGGAGCCTCTGCTGGGTGTTAGGCACTATACCAGATCCTGTAGAAGGCAGGCATGGCCCTGGTTCCCATGAAGCTACTACGGTCGAGCATGAGTGGCAGACACTAAAGAGATAATTACACTATTACATAATAGTCATTGTGGAAAATGCTGTGTAGGAAAAGCCCTGTAGCAAAGAAAGCTAAAAGGGGGCAGCCAGTATCCAAGAGAACACCTTGGAAGCCTCTGGATTTGTTGTTTTAGGTCACTAAAACTGGAGTCCCAAAGGCCTCTTTAAAACCAACAACAACAAAAATCAAATACAAGATGTGTCTTTTAGTTGTTAGAAATCACGAATGTACTAAAGTCGTCACGCTAGGAGAAGTCCACAGGAGTGGCAAACTCTACTTCCAAAGTGTGGGTTGTGGAATAGCTCAGGCAGTCTGGCTCTTGGTCTTCCCCACATGGCTGTTCCGCATTGTTTCCTTTTGTGCTACCTTGAAAGTGTAGTTGTTACTTGAATGGATGACCAACTGGATGTCACAGTGTGACTGTTAATTACTGCCTCATTCCCTAGTGCCTCTTGTAGAGAATTGCATAAGAAATCAGAGCTAGGCCCTGCTCTGGAGAAGGAGAAGGGCAGGCCTGCAGTGAACTGCTGTAAATATTTTGTGCACACCTAGGAGTGGTCCTCTGTATTCTGATGTCTTGAGTCCAACTCTCAAGGCCATAAAATGTTAGATCTTGAGTTGTTGAGTCAGACACAAGTTAACAAGCCCAACTCTTAGCAGCTTGGGAAATTTGAGCAAGCATTAACCTGTTGATTTTGAAGATAAACAGAATTTATGGATGCCTAGCTTTTCTGACAATAATAGTTTATCCCTTATTGGGGATATTCTTCCTACAGTATTGATCTTATCCAGGTTGGGTCTTTCAACCTTCAAGAATCTCCAGGACAGATTGTACATATGAAGAGAGGTTCTGTGTGCCCATCCATTCTGTCTGCAAACTGTTCCTGGGAAGGGATGTGGTTAGAGTGTGTTTAGTTAATCAGGTTATACTGGGTTTCATAAAATGAAAACTTCTGAGGCAATAGGCAGAACGTAGTGTTGAGTGCCAAAACAGTCCTGTAATTAGATGCTTCTAGAACATTCTTTTAGTTCCTCCCCCAATTACAGATAGTCTTCCTGTTTGATGATAAGCAAGATAAAGTCTGTGTTTCCAGATACAAGGTATACTTTATTCCTGATCACTTGAGACTCATAAAAATAAGGGTGTGAGAGTCATGGGGACTACTGCAAATGGCTAGTTGTATGTTTGTGCTATTAAGAATTTCTGATTCAGGGCCTGAGGAGATGGCTTAGTACTTAAGAGCTTTGGCCACCCTCCAAGAGGACTTGCCTTTGATTTCCAGCACCCACATGGCAGTATACAACCATCTCTAACCAGGGATCTAATGCTTTGTAACTTCCGCAGGTACTGAGCACATGTGTGGTACACAGACATACAATACATACAGGCGAAACACCCACAGATGTGAAATAAGAATAATTTAATCTTATTCCCCCAAAATCTAATTCATTCGCAGCCAAAGCCTTTGTCTAACAAAAGAATCGATTTTGCTGGAGATTATGCAAGAGTATTTAAATCTCCAATCATGGTGTCACCTTATAAAAAAAAGAAAAACTGTTTCCCAAAACGGAGATACAACTGGAAGCAAGCAGCAACCTCTAACACAACCCCTTTTCTTCATAGATGGAGAAACTGATGATGCCTGGTCAGGGTAATAAATTCTACCAGCCTGTGCTTCCAAGACATCTTACGAGGACAAATAGTACCCACACACAGTCACCTCCTATATTGTTCCTACAATGAATGAACTCATGCCACTTGGAAACAGGTTTCAGAACTTGCAAAACAAAATAGCTCTGGCTTGCCTGCCTGTCTTCAGGAGTTAATCTGTGTGTATTTTGTTTTTCCTGGATGCACTGAACTGTGTGCGTGCTTTTAACAAGTGCTTAAAGGTATTTTACTTTTATGTCTCAAGTTATGCTGAGTAGTATCTCGGATAACTAACTGCTCCTGACAATTTTCTAGCTAATGTCCAGTGTTTGTGTGCATACTTCATTTCTGTAGAAAGTAGGTAACCTGAGCAAGGGCTCAGCTTAGAAAAGTGATGCAATAGGAGGAAAGAAATAGTGAGAGCACTAATAGTTGAACACCAAAAGCTGTAGGGCCCAGAATTAGTGCAAATGGGAGAACATTACAGAAATATTAAGTGATACATATAATCTTAGAAAGGCATGGAGAGGGCTGAGTAAGTCCCTCCAGGTCCCTAACCTTAGAATGCTGACACTGTGAGCAATGTGAATCTGAACTGATGTTTGTTTACTTTGTAGTTTGTTTATTTTATCCAATGAGACGGTAAACATCTGGAGTCATTTGCTGGGTTTCTTTCTCTTCTTCACCCTGGGAATATATGACATGACATCCGTGCTGCCTTCAGCAAGTGCATCCAGAGAAGATTTTGTAATTTGCTCCATTTGTCTTTTCTGTTTCCAGGTAAGTCATGTCACAAACACCATTCAAGGTAAACTTTTGTCAAGCATGCTTGGGCGGGTGACTTTACTTCAGACCCACCACTTTGAAGGACCCCGAGGGTACATGGGACAATTTACTTGCTTTCAGAGCATAAGCACCACAAAAGCTGTTTGCTCTCATATATCTAGAACTTATTATTATACCATATTTGAAATCCACTACAGATGGTGGAAACTGTATTTGTGTTCTCTCTCTCTCTGTCTCTCTCTGTCTCTGTCTCTGTCTGTCTCTGTCTCTGTCTCTGTCTCTGTCTCTCTCTCTCTCTCTCTCTCTCTCTCTCTCTCTCTCTCTCTCTCTCTCTCTCTCTCTCTCTCTCTCTCCCTCTCACCCCACTGTGTAGTCCAGACTGACTCAGCCTCCCTCCTCATGAAATGCCAGGATTGCAGGCGTGTGTCACCAAGCCTTGCTTTTTTATCTTTGTACACATCTTGGCTGTAAGATTAACACTAGGATATGAGTTTGCCTGTACTGTGCTATTGGCTAAAGTATCTACTAAAAACCTGTTTGAAAAGACTACTTCTTTGTCCTATTATAATGATGTGTGCCTTGTATTTGCTATTTCCACACTGGATTTCTCATGCTATCTTATCCCACTGCATGGAGCTTTTGTTCTAATGCTTCACTGCAGTTTCCTTAGATCCCTTGCCATCTGCTTGGTTTCTATTTTATTTTGTTCGCATTCATCTTTAACTTTTGTATTTATTAGTTCCATTACACTTGTGTATTTTCATAGGATCTGTAGAAATACCTTTAAAGTTAAAATTTAAGATTCTCAAGCAGATAATTTAATTATTTTTTATTGAAAATAGACTTTTGTAGCTGGGTGGTGGTGGTGCACACCTTTAACCCCAGCACTCAGGCAACAGAGGCAGGTGGATCTCTGAATTTCAGTCCAGCCCGGTCTACACAGAGAAACTATGCCTCAAAAAATAGGGGGTTGTTCATATGTGCCCCCCTTCATTACCTAGATCCTTCCAACTCCCCACCCATTCAACTTCATGCCTTCTTTGTCTCTCTTTAAAAACAGTCAAATAAACAAACAAAAAAAAAAAAAAAAACAAAGCAAACAGGGAAGGGAAAAGCAAGAGAAGCTCATACACATGCTCACTCACATGGAAAACCCATAAAAACATAAAATCGGAAACCATAACATATAAGCAAAAGACCAGTGAGGTTAAAAGAAAATGCCCAAACAAAACATTAAAGACAAAAATTCTCCAAAAACAACCATTGAGTTCATTTTGCGTTGGCATCTGCTACTGGGCATGGGGGCTGCCTTTAAGTGTGTTTTTTTTTTTTTTATACCTATTGCAACTCCTTTGGAGAAAATTTTTCCTTTGTGAGCGTTGTAAATGGAGATAGCTTCTAGGTTATGGATGAGATCATAGCTACTTCTCAGTGCTGAGACTCCGTCTGGCTGAGGCCTGTGCAGGCCCTGAGCTTGCTGCCAGAGTCTCAGTGAGTGCATACGTGCATCAGTCCTATCGTGTCTAAAAGACGCTGTTTCCCTGGTGATTCCCATCCCCTCTGGCTCTTATTTCTGCAGGGTTCCCTGAACCCTGAGGAGAGGGATTTGATGGAGACAGCCCATTTAGAACTGGGTATTCCAAGGTCTCTCACTCTGTGCATGTTGTCTGCCTGTGGGTCTCTGTATTTGTTCCCATTGACTTTAGGAGGAAGCTTCTCTGATGGTGGCTGAGCAAGTCACTGATCTATGACTACAGCAGAATGTTGTTAGCAGTAGTTATATTGCTGTGTCCTTTAAGCAGAACAGTAGTATTCGACTTTCCCCCTCGTTCTATGGCCACCCAGGCAGTGTCAGGCATGGGTTCCATGTTATGGCGTGGGCCTTAAGTCCAATCAGATAGTGCTCAGTTACTCCCAACACTTTTGAGCACTATTGATTACAACAGCATATCATACAGACAGGGCACCACTGGAAATTAAAGTGTTCAAACAGTTCATTTTAAAACAGGAAATAAATGTAGGCCAGTACACTGACATTTTGACAATTAAAAAATACAGAATATTTGAACAGCATGAAAACAGAAAGAAAAGGCTTGCACCACATTTCCTCCTGGCAGTCAGACCAGGAGCCTGCACTGGAACCTGTTCTGCCTAGCCAGAAAGGAGATCCTAGAAACTAACCGTGTAGATGTTTTCACTGCATCTTGTGTTTTAGAACCCTGGTTTTTTTTTTCCTCAAAACTTTGGTCCTAAAGGGAAACGTATTAGAAGCATCTCTAATTTTCTTTTTAGTAATTTCAATTTTAGTGTAACAGATACTTACTCAATATCCCTTTATACTCCTTGGCCCCGTAATACTGGGAGTAATACTACAGCGGTAGTATGTAAGGCTGAATAGACTAAGCAGGTCAGTGACATTAAGTCATGTGTGTGGGAGGGTGGAAAAGTCAATCCAGGCATTTGAATGGGTAAACTGCTATGTAGAGGCCCAGAAGCAACAGACACCTCGTGCTTTCTGGTTTTAGCAGTATTCATCTTTCCATCTGAACCCTGGGTAGCAGAGGAGGAAGGAAAGGCAGACATAGGTAGGGGCCAGACCATGGCATACTTTGTTATCCTGACAATGCGCTGATATATGTCGGATGTTCACCGTAGTCATCTTCCCACTTGGATAGTGAAACATGCCATGGGATGCTTTCCACTAGACCTGAAACATACCAAATTTGCCAAAAATGTTAATCTTGCAAGGAGCCCTTAACAAGAGCACACAACTCTTCAAACAGCATACAAAATATAGGTTCCGCTTTTAAAATTTGGAGTGCTTTGTTGACATCATTTTCTTTCCCTTTTGATACCATAGTTTTTCTCCCACAGACTCTCTTTTTCACAACGAGATAAAGTTTATTACTGATTGTCATAGTTATACTGTCTACTCATATGGACATTCAAGCCGATAAAAGCTTAAGAAGGACAGTAAGTCACTTGGAACCCCACTTCCACAGGTAGCCACATTTGACATTGCCGTTGGAGTAGACGTTGTGCACACACAACTCCCTCACGTCTTCCTCTCTGCCTGTCCATCGGGTGCTTCCAAGCTGAGACCGCCTCTGCTGGCTGCTTTACATCATTGTCTGTGACAGTGAGATCCTTTTCTCTGGACGCTCTTACATGTGTGGCATGTAAGCACAGGGATAGCCAGAGAATGCAGCCGAGCTGGTCCATGTAATTGTGACAGCAGATGAACTAAATCTCTGGTTAAGTGAGTCATTGCTGAACATGGACACTGAGTCTCTGCAAGCTGGTTAGGCTTGCTTAACGAACAAATAACTGGATGTGCATTTTACTGTCTTGGCAGCCAGCTGCTCAGAACACATCTGTCAGTTGGCCCTACTTCATAACAGTTCCATTTTGTCCACTCCCATTGTCATTGACCTGACAAACTTGTTGTTGTTCCCCAGGGCCATGTTCATAACCTCTCAGCTGGTCTAGTCTACGCCTCTGTAAAGGTGTTCTTCGTGCCAAAGTTAAAACACCTTGTTGTGTAGTCACTTTAATTATGGCACGAAGAAAGGCACATTCCATTCTTTAGTGGATTCCTATTTTTCATTATGTGACTTGTCTTTATGGACCCCTTTCCCTGTAAAACGTACAGACTTCCTTAATGGCCCTGATGAACGCTAGCTGGATGTGGAGACGCAGCTCAAGGTCAGCCCCTTCCGTGATGTGATGCTGTGTCCCTCTGCCAGGTCCACCTGCAGGCACACCACGCACGCACACAGCCAGTACCTGTTTTCCTTGGTTTTTATGGTCTACACTGACTTCTCCTGTAGAACCTATTATAGCAGCATTCTCCAGAACTCTACTGGAGAGTAGAAGTTTCACCTTCATGTCCTCCTCCACTGCATAGCACACAATGGATACTTGATGGTCAGAGAGCCTCTGCCTTGTGCGTCCTCAGAGCTGCTGTCTACATCATCATCTTTGCTGTCCATTTGGAAAGCATACCCATTTTATTTATCATGGATATAATAAAGCCATATTTACTTAGTAGTAAACTGTAGTCTCTAAGTTAAAAAAGCAAATTCTATCCAGGTGGAGTGGCACATACCTTTAAACCCAGCACCAGGGGTACAGAGGCAGGGGATCTCTGAGTTCCAGGCCATCCTGGTTTACTTAGTGAGTTTCAGACCAATCAGGGCTGCATAGTGAAACTTTGTCTCACAACAACAACAACAACAACAAGAAAGCACATTATAGACTAGAATTATAAGTTCACTTGATCAAAGTATTTATCATGTGTAGACATGTGCATCACAGGTCCTTAGAGCACATATGTTACAGGTAATAAAACATGTTGTCAGTGACTACTTCTAAGGAATAGACTGAATAAGAGGGGCTTATATTTTTTGCAGCATACAATTCTAAATCTTTTGCTCTTTTTTAAGGGATGTATAATAATAAACTCATTCATGAATCAGAGTAACCTTAGGAGGTATTATGAAAGTATTTGTATTAAAAACCATTTTCACTGTAAAATTTCTCCCAAGTTTTTGCTGTTTATTTAATTTATATTTTAGAATAATTATAATTTTTATGTTTATAATGATTGTGGTCCACATTTTCCTGATGAACTCATGAGGCTTAGTAGCAGTTTGCCCTATGATGAGGTGCACAGCTAGAATTCAAACTAAAGTGCCCCTGACCTGGAAGCCTGGCATCTCAGCCAGATCTCGGAAGAACATTTAGGAATCCTCTGGTTCCTTTTTGTCTCACTTTGTTCTTAAGGTATGCTTCTCCTTCTGCAGGTCTGCATGCTTTGTTCAGTGGGCTATCATCTTTTCTCCTGTCATCGGTCAGAGAAAACCTGTCGAAGATGGATGGCGTTGGACTATGCAGGGATTTCTATTGGAATCCTGGGCTGCTATGTCTCGGGAGTATTTTATGCATTTTATTGTAATAATGTAAGTGTTTAGAACTTTCACACTCAGCCTTTCATGTAGGATTTGGGTTTTCTTGCAGTGGTTTAAGTCTATGAATGCACACTTGCCTTACAAATAGAAGAGTCTTGTTTGGGCACAAACCTCAATCTCAAAAGACTCATGTGATCGGTTCCATCGTGACTTTGTTAATTTTCTAGTGGAAAGGATGACAATAAGCATGGAAACACAGCACACAGAGAATGTAGCGGCATATGTATATAGTCATGTAACTCAGCCAGGGAGGTGCAGGATCTCTACTTCCAGGCCAGGCCAAGCTACAGAGCACAACCATGTCTCAAAACAGTAAAAAAGAAGTTCCATCACCTCGCTCTCCTGTTCCACTCTTTGACTTTTAATTTCCTTTTCTCATCTTACCTCTTCCTTAGAACCCAAGCTATGCTTCTTTCCCAAGAGCAGCATACCTTCTCAGAGTGGAGTTCTTTTCCCAGTTGGCAAGCCTCCCCTAGCTGTGTAGTGGGTCCACTCAGATGCAGGCCTCACCCTGCACTCTAGGAACACTGCACTTCAGGAGTCTCTGCTAAGGTTGCTAAGCAGGGCCCTGGGCTCTACACGGTGAGAGAGAATTATTAGGGCATCTGGCTTATAAAACTGGTTTAAAGTCTTCCAGACAATCATCCCTAGAGCCACATGTCAACTCATGTCACTCTGACTCTAGTTGTAGGGGATCCTACATCCTCTTCTGACATCTGTGGCATCAGACATACACATGGTGCACAGACATACATGCTGGCAAAACAAAATACACATAAAATTAAAAATAGATATATTCAAAGTACCAAAGGAAAAAGTCATAAATTAGGCTTGAGTATGTTAGGACCATTGTAAACTATCTGTTACATTATGACATAGTATCTACCTAAGTATATATGTGATTAAAGTGTAAATTGATTGGATTTTGCTAGAAAACTGTTTACTCAGAAGTGCATAGCACTATTCTGTGTGAAATTCTGCAGGAATTCTGTATGCTGTCAGGTGGGTTGTCATGTAGTCGAGGAGGTTGTCACATTGTCAGTCATACTTAAACTGCTGTTAGCCTGTACACACACACACACACACACACACACACACACACACACACACACACACACACACACTCTCTCTTTTCATTTTTCATCCCGGCCCTGCCCTCTGTTTGAATGAACTGTGCTGATGTCTGTCTGACCTGCTTCCTCTCACTTCTTTTCTATCCCGGTATCTGCATTTTTGTCTCAATTGCCACCCTCTGGGGTTACAGGCCCCTGACAGCACACCCAGCGTTCACCCTGTTCTTCAGCAGCTCCCAGTGTGTCAACATGGTGGAGTTCAGTCTTAGCCTCACGTTGGGCACCTTTCTCCAAACCTCCCTGCCCCTTTCTGCCCCTTCCCCACACTGTGCTTGCATTCCTCAAGCCCGGCTTAGATGCTGTCTCTTCCGCCAAGCATCTTTAGCAACCTGGGGTAACACTGACTCTTCTTGCTTCAGTGGTTCCACAACGTTCTCTTTGTGACTTAGTCTCGGCATTATCATCACACTATCATCGTGTTCACGAGGCTGCCCTCCCAGTCTGAGCTCAGCCACGGAGAGGCCACGCCATAGGCAGCCTTGTGCCTGCATCATTTTCCTCGTGTCTAGCTGAACAGGCACTCAGAAAATGCTCACGGAGAAGTGAGTGCGGTCTTCTACCAGCTCACTTGCAGGTCTGTTTGTCATCCTTGGCAGAACCTCAACATTTGTGTGGAACGCTCTTCAGAAGGGAGGGGGCTCTTGTTTGGACATTAGAGCCACATGAACAGAGCCTGTGATGCTTAGTGTAGAAGCCCACATGACCACCTTCCTTTCATTCTAGTACTGGCGTCAAGTGTACTTGATCACCGTGCTCGCAATGATCCTAGCAGTGTTCTTCGCACAGATTCATCCCAATTACCTCACCCAGCAGTGGCAGAGACTCCGCCCTATCATCTTTTGTTCTGTTTCGGGTTATGGAGTGATCCCTACTCTTCACTGGGTTTGGCTCAATGGAGGAATCAGTGCTCCTATTGTACAGGTAGGCTGAGTATGGTCAGGTTTGTTTGTTTGTGGTTTTGTTTGTTTGTTTTTGTCCTTCATTTTTATTTTTCGGTGAAAGTGAGGCTATGTGGTAGCTCTGAATCCTTTGGGAGCATGTTTTTAGTTGCATATTGAAACAGTTTTTGTAGCTATATAAATAAGCATACCTCTCAAAACTGTAAGTTAGAGTCTATTCATGTTCATTCTGGGGACAACTTCTGAGTTTGCAGTTCTGTCTGCTGTGCTAGTGTTACTACCATAGACAACGGATTATAGAGGTGGGAGCACTTGGTTTCTTTTGAGGGTAAGAGATGAAGAATTGAAGAATTTATGGTTGGACATATTGAGTCGGAGATATGTAAAGGATAGAAAGAAAAATAGACATTATGTTTGAATTGAGGATAGAGTTGGACACAGGTGATAAATATTGACAGTAGCATCAAATTGGTAGCTGGGACTGGAGGAATATATTCAGCCCACCAAGAATGCACTGAGAAGTAAAGGAAGAGCTGTTGATTTTGCTGGTTCATATCCTGTGGAAACAGGTGATATTCCAGAGGAAGAACTCCAGTAGGGCCCCATCTTTCTGAGGACCATAGAAACAAATTTCTGTGTTCTCAGAAATTCTTATAAAAGGGCTCCAAGTGTGTGCTAGAGAGAGAGGCCTTGAACAAGGGGGAGCTCATGAATCCCAGTTGATAGCTGCAAAGCCAGTATGAGATTGATGCAGGCCCCCTGAACATGGGTGTCAGTTAGGAGGCCTGGGCAATCTATGGGGCCTCTGGTAGTGAATCAGTGTTTGTCCCTGTGTACAAATTGACTTTGGGAGCCCATTCCAAATAGAGGGATACTCTCTCAGCCTAGACACACAGGGAAGGGCCTAGGCCCTGCTCCAGTTGATATGACAGACTTTGAAAATCCCCTATGGAAGAGCAGAGGAGATGGAATGTGGGGGTAGGTGGGGGCAGGTGAGGAGGGGAGGGAGAGAAAGCTGGGATTGACATTTGGAACAAGGTTGTTTCTGATTTAAATAAAAAATTAAAAAATAAAAATATATTTAATGTAAGTAAATAAGCCAAGAAAGCTGGTGTAAGTCTCAGTTGTCGCAGTGCCCTTTGTTTGGACTTTACTGGAGTTTGTTGTCACTTCCAGAATTAGTTGACTACAAGAAGGAGGCCTGTCAGTAGGCTTGCTTTCAGTGTGGTACAGGGGAAATCACCTGAAGAGAAAGGTGGTTTTGTGGCAGAGTGAAGTGAGTGGCCTGATAAATCAAGGGAGAGGGGTACCGTACCTTCCTAAGACCAAGAATGTAACAGTTGTTATGAGTGAGAAGGGACATAGCTGTCCTGCTATGTATGAAGACACCATTTTTCTGGTAATTTTGGGTCCCCATGAATATAATTTGATTCTAACTAGAAAAGAATAACTGGTAGCTGATACAGAAGTGACTAAACATAGAGGTAGTGAATTACAGTCAGCTTATAATATAAAAAGAACAAGAACTTTAGAGTTGATAGAAATTAGAAAAATTTGAATATTCCTGTATGCCTAAGACTTAAGATAGAAAATAGGTGTATAAAGACAGTGGTTCTTAGAAACAGAGTACTAGTAAGATTACCCGTCATTCTAGTGAGGAGGCGGGGGGCCTTTGAAGAAACCCACCGAAAAGCTCCCCTTGTCAAGTTGGGAAGAGATGCCCCATTAAAGATGAGATTTCCAGAAAGGTTAAGCCTGACAGATGGTAGAAGGTTGTTCTAGAATGGTTAGAAATCACAGACTGATAAATCTGAAGAATATAGGGTTGGAAAAGGTCCAGATCATTCTGCATACTTGAAAAGGAAGAGAAGTTGTCTTTAGTTCTTACATGAACTGTTGGTAAATTTCATAGGCTTGTAACCCGGGTGAGGGACAGTATATGTGTTTTAGCTCACTGGTTATTACTAGATGGAAAGACCTTTAGGCCCACATACCAGCAGTGAGATGGAGTGCTTCCTATAGCAGTACTCAGGGCATTTATGTGGGATGTGGGAAGCTGCTCTGTCTTGGGCAGGACTATTCATATCTGCCTTTAATCTCTGCTGACTCTGCTCTCATACACATGGCACTCTGTAACCACTTTGTAGAGGAGCCGGGCAGTCTCAGGACTGTCACCAGTGTCAAAGCTCAAGCTCCATATGCAGTCAAACCCTTAGGCCATCACTACACTCCATTGCTGTGGGCCTCCTCCTGTGGAATAAGAACAAGAGATCATTATTATGGAGACCATCATCAGGATAGTTGGGACTTAGCAGTCTTTAAAATCCCACGTCAGCTCCAGGAGATCTCAGTAGCACTGGGAAAATGTTAGCAAACACTCTTTGTTTTCCAGGACTTTGCACCCCGAGTAATTGTGATGTATGTGATCGCTCTTCTTGCTTTCCTGTTCTACATTTCCAAAGTTCCAGAACGGTACTTTCCAGGTAGGTCCCTGCTCAGCATTGTTTTGTAGCTTCCTTCTGAAAACACATTTGAAGTAAATGCTTCTGAGAATCAAAATTTAGATTGTTTCTCAGTATTGATTATGGAATGACTCTTCCATTGCTAAGCAATATCTATAGCTTTTTCACCAGGCTAGGTGGCATGTACCTTTAGTCCCAGCACCCATGAGGCAGAGGCAGGCAGTTCTATGTGAGTTCGAGGCCAGCCTGGTATACATAGTGATTTCCAGGACAGCCAGGGCTACACGGAGAAATCCTGTTTTACAAAACAACAAACAAAACAAAACAGAAAGAAAGCATAACTTTAAATTTCAAGGGGCTTTCATAGACACTTCCTGCCACCCTTGCAGTATGATTTGAGTCCAGGGGTTGAGGTTGACACTGTTGTACAGTTATGAGCTTGTGACAGTGCTCATCAGACTCCGAGGATCATGAGACTCCTGGCCCCTGTTAAACATGGGGCTTCACCATTAGCTACCGTGCTCTTAGTTACCAACTTGTTCTTAGAGTATACTTTTCATATGCAGTGATGCAAGTGGCAAGAGGTGCAAGCAGCGAGGATACAAGGACAGTAAGAAGACGGGTTTAGAGTAGCTTTTCTGTGCGTTGGAGCTTTATCTGTTATTTCAGTTGCCTGAAGGAGACCACTCCAGAGTGAAAACACCACCATCAAAACTTTTATTATTGTGTAGTTATAATTGTTATATTTTAATCTCTTCCTATGTGTGATTTGGGAATTAAACATAACTGTCTGTAGTCATATAGGGAGGGTAATATTTATAGGATTGAGTACTCTCTGCAGTGTTAGGCATCCCCTGAGGGCTCTCAGAATGTGTCCTTAGGGATACAAGGAGCCTGTGTGCCTCACACAGTCTGCACAGTAGCTCAGGGCAACCAATCTGGCTTGTAGCTTCCTCACACCACTGCTAGAGTGAACACTCTTCACCGCCCCCAAGGTACTCAGGAGCCACTCACAGCAGGAGGAAGATGTCCCTTCTTCAGGCCAGCATTGGGGAGCTCTGATGAAAAACACCTAGAAGACACAGGGTCTGGTGAGCAATCTTCTCTAATGCATGTTCTCCTCCATTGCACTCTGCAGTTAGACTGCCTGAGTTAGAAGCCACAGTAGCCATTTACTGGTGGCCCATGCTTGAGCCACATCAGAATAGCTGCAATACTCTCTTCTCCTGTGGCTCCCGTGAGGATGAGCACAGTTCCAGGTGGGCAGTAAGCACTCAGAGTGGTGGCCCAGTCTTGGTCATGGAAGTAAGGGGTGACGGTTAAAAGACAGCATGATGAAGTCCAGTCAAGCTTTAGAGTAACGTTAGAGAACTTACAACAGTGACTTAAGTTTGGAAGACTGAATCAAGGAGCAGTTTCAATCTAGGCTGCAAATCTGTCCCTCCTTCCGTGGTTAAAAATCACTTCCATGGTACTGGGTCAGGGGAGATACATGACCATACAGGTAGTTTTCCCAGGCCAGAGCATGTCTATTGCCTGGGTTTGCTGAATCCTGACTTCCTAGCATGTGGGGAGAACTGACATTCGTTGCAGGGATTGGGGCTCTGTTCACATTTTCCCCTAAGAGAAAGAACCACCGACATGATGAATTAGAGGTGGCATGGGACCCTCCTCCCATGCTTTGGAGAGGGAGACAGGCTAGAGGATGAGTCTGCAAGCATCCCTCTGTGGACTTGGTTCTTCATCATTGAGCTTAAAGTACAAATGGAATGCAGAGAGAACCTGAGTGTGTAACATCAGGACATGAGGACATAACCAGGACATAGCCCCATACTGAAAAAACACAATTTGGGTATATTTCTGTATCACTATTAATAATTTTTTTTAAGATTCTAGAGCTAGAAGTATATGTAACTCCGTGGTAGAGCACTTGCCTAAGATTCTAGAGCTGGAAGTATGTAGAGATAGAAGTATATAGAGATTGAGGTGTGTAGAGCTCAGTGGTAGAGCACTTGTCTAGAGAGCACAAGGTTCAGAGTTTAATCCTGAGCATTGCAAACTATATTAAAAATAATTATATTCATATACAATCCTATTTCTTTATTGCACACAAGTACAAACACTACACACTATGGAAGAACGGCCATGTGGCTTTCCCTTACAATTTTCAGTCAGCAGTTAAGAATAGTCTCTTCTGTCACTTGCAAAAAATCGTGTTACCTACCTTTTCTCCAAGGTGAGCTCAGCACAAGATCTGCCCATGTAGCTGTGTGTTTGAGGGCAGGAACTCCAGGGCATTGGCACTGGGAAAGCTGACGTCTTAGGGAAGGTAATCTTTGATGTTAAGTATGTATCTTCTCCCATGTCTGAGACAAACATGGACAGTGCAGACTGTGAATCGTGGGTAAGAAATTTAAAACTAAACACAGCTCTGGTTAAAGTAGTACATACCCTTAACCCTAGCACTAGGGAGGCAGAGGCAGGCAGATCTGTGAATTGAAGCTTACCTTGATCTATACAGTCTTAGGCCAGCTAAGGCTACATAGTGAAGACGTATCTTCAAAAACAAAAACAAAACAAATGTATATCACAGTGATCCATAGAGCGAAATGTTCATCAGTAGACCATTTATTATAAGATAATAATAATGATAATGAACCTGTAGGCTTCATTTGGAGTTGAGAAAGACCAAGAGCCTACCCGGAAGGAATCCTGTTGACTCAAACTTTTAATCCTGTGTTCTGAACTAACATTGCTAAGAAAAAGTGAGCTGAGAGGATGTTTACATGACACCACTGTAGCAGGACTTTAAGGAACAGTGAACACTTGTTCTGGTGCTGGGTTTTGTGATTGGGAAACATCAGGAAGCTTTTCTGTATTAGTGACTAATTAGTCACCCCCCACACACAGAAGGCTCACATTCTCCCTCCTACCCCTCCCCCCTCACCCCCCCCCCACACACAGAAGGCTTAAAATCCAAGTCTTTTAAGTTTAATTTTTTTTCTTTTTTCAGACAGGGTCCTAGTCTGTAGCCCTGGTGGGTCTGGAACTTGCTATGTAGACCAGGCTGGCCTTGTATTCATAGAGAGAGATCCACTTGCCTCTCCCTTCCAAGTGCTGGGATTAAAGGCATGTGCTACCACGTCCAGCCCTTTAAATTTTACTTCCTTAAAATGCCCAGTTTGTTTTTGCACGTGAACTCTGTAGTAACTGTGTATGTATAACACATATTTAAATCATGCCCTGATCATCTCTTGCCTTTCGTACAGTATTTTCTGCCCATTCTACCAAATACATTGAGACATGGAAAACAAAAGATCAAATTCATGAAATTAAATGTTACATTAGTCTTTTTCATGTTTATTGTGCATGTTTACTTACATGTGTGCACTTCTGGGGTCGATGTGCATGCCACAATGTTGATGTAGCAGTCAGAGGACAGCTCTCAAGAGTCAGTTCCACACTGTGGGAAGTCTCTGTGTCCTATGGATCTGAGGGCTTGGTGGCAGATGCCTTTACCCACTGAGCTATTTCACTGGCCCCCACAAGTTACATTTTAAAAATAGTTGGTATCTAAGGCCATACTATCCAAACACACCTGATCTCTCCTAGAAATAGCTGAAAATTGCATTTCTGAAATTCACTTGCATACTTAAGGAGTAAAACCTGAAATATGAGTTCCTCCTTAAAACAATAATTTGAATCAATCTGTAGTCAATCTAGACACAGGTAGAAGTGTATTTTTCTCAGAAATACTGAATTAATACTGTCAGCCTTTTCTTCTGCTCTCCCTTCCAGGACAGCTAAACTACCTCGGATCAAGCCACCAGATCTGGCATGTCCTCGCAGTAGTGATGTTATACTGGTGGCACCAGTCAACAGTGTATGTCATGCAGTACAGACACAGCAAGCCCTGCCCTGGCTATGTTCCGCACCTGTAAATTCAGGTATGGCCACCTGGTGAACCCAGTCATTAAGCAATACAAATTGGGGAATTTTAGATTCCATTATTTCTAAGGTCCCCTTTTTTCCTTTTGCTTGTTTAATGAGTCATAATGCTCTATAAAAATGGAAAAATGTATGTGGATCTATAGTAAGAACTGTGTTTGACCCTTGCAACCATGATTTGCTGTCTGTACCAATGGTGAAAATTAAGATGTGGTGAGACATCAGTATCCTGAGTAGTAGCAGTGGATATGAAATTACTATAAAAACGGGGTTCATTTTTATGTGTGACCAACTTCCTTTTCTTAGGAGTAGCTCCTGTCTGTTAAAAATGGAGGTATCCTGTATGCTTACCCTAATAGGAGACGTTTTGATTAAGTGACCAAGTTTGTTACAACCTGTGCTACTCCAAACAAGCTACTCCAAGCTAAGTTATTCCCTTAACTAGTTTCCCCTCCCTTTAGGAACATTTGATTTTTTTAATTAAGTAATTAAATTATTTATCTTTAGTTTGCTAACAAAATTTTAATTCCTCCCTTGAGAAAGGTACTGAGAAAAGCAAATGAACACGCATTGTTCTTAAAAAGAGCATTAGATTGGAAACTAGGAACACAACTGAGCAACATAGTCTGATAGCCAGATCATTAGTTACCTAATTTTATCCAAAATATTATTTAATTCTATAATTGGATTCTTGACAGTGAATTTTGATTCCAGTTTTCCCAAAGAACTTTTCAGTCTGACTCTAGCCCTAAGTTTCATGATGACGAGTTCAAAACTTATGGGTGCTACTTTGAAGACCATGAGATCTGAGTGGCCCCGTCTTGACCTTGAAGTGAACCATAAGCCTTAGAAGTCATGCAGATGTCCCATTTGATAGTGAGATTATTCATTCACCGATGCTCCAAGCCTGATTATACTTGTACTAACATCTCATTGACAACTTAAACATGTATATAAATACCATGTACAATCCAGAGCTGAAGCATTAGTCCTCTTAATAGTAGATCTTATAATCATATAGCTTTTATTCCTTGATCTTTCTAAATACATAAATTAATCATTCATAAAAACTTCTGTTGTCCACTGAAATATAAAGTACGACCTAAGTTTCAAGCTGTTTTAAGTACTGGTGTAGTTTCAGGAAAGTGGAATCAACTAATACATCACAAAGTTTTTCTTGACATTGATATTTATTTCCTAAATGCACTTTCTCCATCCAGTATTAGGAAAATTAATATGCTTCACTATGCCTCTACAGACTGTTTCTTTTTAGTATTGTGGTTTTGGAATTCAAAGTTTCCCATGATGGAATGTCAGAAAGAACTTTCTCCCAGTGGGCTCAGTGAAGGCCACCATTTCATAAGCATTGCTGTGATGGAATGCTACTTTCAAAGTGGTTGTACGTTATGTCACAAATTCAATTCATATGCTCAACTTTAGATCACCTGGACATAGTTTTCAAGAAATACCCTTTATTGGTACATGTTGTTCTTGAATACACATTTTACCATTTTGGCCAGAATAAATATATATGCTAAGTTTTTAAGTTAAAAATGAGGAAAATCCAGTAAGTTTAGGTGTGGAGTCATTTTTTATTGTCAAAAAAAATCCAAGTCTTTTAAGTTTAATTTTTTTTCTTTTTTCAGACAGGGTCCTAGTCTGTAGCCCTGGTGGGTCTGGAACTTGCTATGTAGACCAGGCTGGCCTTGTATTCATAGAGAGAGATCCACTTGCCTCTCCCTTCCAAGTGCTGGGATTAAAGGCATGTGCTACCATGTCCAGCCCTTTAAATTTTACTTCCTTAAAATGCCCAGTTTGTTTTTGCACGTGAACTCTGTAATAACTGTGTATGTATAACACAAAAAAGAGCAAACTTTGAATAGTTCTGATTGTAGGGACAGTTATTCTGTGTTCTCTGAAAACGTCCAGTATTATAATTAAACTATTGTCCTCATCTTTTATCTTTATGCTGTATTTATTATAAAGGAATGAATGACTGTGGGTCACTGTCAGCTATAAAAACTTGTGTGCGTCAGCATTTATTGACCATCTACTGTGTGCATAACACTACTGATAAAAATTGTAATTATTCACATTAAAGAATATTGACAACTGCTTAAATCTGAGCTTTGTAATAATGTATATTCATTTGTTTTATCAGTTTATTAAAATAAATCAGGTTGAAAATTGTATTTCCAGTTACAGTATTTAAAAGAAAAAAAAGCCAATCTCACTTTTACCTATATACAAACTATAAAAGTACATTTTAAAACTGTCTCTGGCTGTTTTAAATTCTAACAATTTATAGAGATGAAGTTAACTCAGTAAACAGTCATCTTTCTCTATAAAGCCATTTTCAAACAGCAAGGCACTGCTCATCTTTTTGTCTTAAACTGAGTGTAGTTTGGTAGCTGTATGGCAAAGTGTGCGTATGTAAATAAACGGGGTTTACAAAATGTGTGCTGCTCGTCATTCTTTCTAATACGTTACAGCTTCCCAGTTCACTACCCCAGTGGACAGAGTATCCAATTAAAGATTGTGCTTGAAGAGTATAGAGCTGCCCGACTCTCCCTAGTTAGGCACCCCCACCCCAGACATGTACCCTGTTCTGTATTAAATGCCAAGGGGCATGGCCTGCATTTGTGGGTTCCTGCCAGTTGCGGAGAAGGTCCACATCCGCCTGAGAAGCAGCGTTTCCTCTAAGTCAGCCGTGAGGAAAGGGCATTGTCACAGTAACATTCACACTGAAGAGAAGTGTGGGCACTAACGCACCCAGTCCCTGAGGCGTGACTGTATTTCTGTGGTGGGATGAATGGTCTGGAACTGAAACTTACCCTTTAAAATTTTTTTCTGAAAGGAGAGAAATAACAGTAGGGTCCTCTGAGGAGAGTGAACTTCTGTACCTTGCACAGCTTATGTGAAGAGCCACCAAGACCCTCGTCCTGCTCTTCTAATGTGGCATGAAACTGCTGCCCAGCATGCAGGTAATCTCAGTTGTGCCAGCCCCAGCTTCAAAAGATCATGCTGTCAGGATGAACATTAGCTGTGCTACATGTAATGCTTGAGCCAGTCTTTCCTGAATAGGAACTATTCAAAATAAATAGCTCAAATAGTACCATATGTTCCTCCTTGGAGAGATTAACTATAACCAAATCTCAACAGTGACTGCCTTGCACTGGCTACACTTCAAAAGTCCACTCATACCAAATAAAACGAACCCTGTTCAAAGACTAAGAAACTGTCACAAGGCACCAAGACAGACTCTAGACGGTGAGGTACTGCATTCTAAGATAACACTGCAACTCTGTTGTCAATCTAATACACAGGCCATCTCTTTTCTGACAGTCAAGAACTTAAATACTTAGTGAGATATTGTTAATGCTCACTGCTTTTTACAGCTGAAAAAAAGAAGTTACGAATGAAAACCCATGCCAGACAAGTTTGAATTCAAAGGGCACTCTAAGACCTTGTGTTCTGACCTTACAATCACTGTATGAGTGAAGGTGTGGCAATTATGCTATCAAATGTTCTTGTTGCACAAAAATGAAGCCAGGTGCATTTTCTCACATCCTAAATCACGAACTATTTGAAAACAGAGTACATAAGTGAGACAGAAGCTATCGTGAGAATGAAAGAACTAAATAGAACTTTATAATGAAACTTTTAATAAGACAAACAATAATAATAATAAACTCCAAAGGCATTGATTATAAAGAATAAGCAATCCATTTGGGATTTTATTGCATTTAAAGAAGGCAGATTATTAAAACAGTAGGTATGATAAATACAGTAAGAAAATAACTTTAAATCTCAAACAAAATAGTGAACAGAATTCAAGACTAAGCAATGTAAAGGCAATAAGGTAATAAAATTAGTGCTTACCTAGGAACAAGGGAAGCATCTGAATTCTATTTCATAAGTTTCCCAGCCACATTTGAGGACTTAAGTTACTTTAGCAAATATGTTTTATAACAATTAGAAATGTAACTAAAGGTATAAATCCGGTTTTTTAAAAGATTAAAGTTATTAGTGGTACATAAAAAGGCTTCAGAAAATTCAAGTTTAACAAAAATGGAAGTGTAATCAAAGAAAGTGCACTTAAAGCTGTTTGCCAGCAATGAAAAGGGAGCTTCCAGACTAGAGGTGTAGCTCAGCGCTACAGTGCTTGTCTAGCATGTGCAAGGTCCTGGGTTCAATCCCCGGCACCACAAGACAAAGAACAAGTGACTACTACTCCTTCTATTGGGTGACTTTCAGTCACAAAAAGCACATTGCAATAAAACCAGTTCTCTTATGAAAGTAGCACTGTGAATTTTAAAATTAAAAAAAAAAAACCTAAAACAGACCTAACCCTCTGTATTTTCATCTACTTCCTTTTAGTGGTTTTTATAAACCCTCTCTAGGAGTGAATGCTCTTTAAAAAACAAAAACAATAAAACCATGATTGCCATTTTTAAATCCGCATTAATTCCCTACTAGAGAGCTGTGATGTGCATGGCGTGTCTTTTTATCTTAGTAGAAAACACACAAGTATAAAAGTTTTCCAATAGTCATTTGCTATTGTCACAGTAGACACATCATGTCCTCACAGTAGACTGTCAACTCAATTAACTAGACCTAAACTGATGACTAGTTTTGCTAAAGAGAAAAAAAAAAAAAAAACAGGAAAAACTGACTAAGTTCACTGCACATTCTACATATACTAAACAGATGTACCCCAAATCCCCTAAGCAGTGATAGTAATACACGTTCAAACCAGATGGCCCAGCCAAGTGGCTGCCCCTCAACACCAGCACAAGAGAGCAGGTTTCACCAGCAAGATGACAACAGTAGTCAGTCCTGGTTAAACTGCTGCGAGGTGCAGAGATCTGAGATCCAAGGGATTTCCTAACCATGCCCAAGTACACATCCCAGTTTGGGGGGGCACTCACTTCTTAATATCCTCGTCAGTTATTTTCTCCCAGCTTACAACTATACACCAAGCAGCTTCTGAGTCTCGGCAGCTACATTCTTCAATGCCATAAACGATGATCTTTGAAATAGTAATGTTTTACTGAAGTAATGGAAGCTAAGCAAATGGTCCACTCTTTCAAAGATGATTCAGGGTTAACCAGCTGGTAAAGCTTCTAAGAGACAGTTTTGACCTCGGAACCTTGCGAGGTCTCTAATGTGACTTCCCTTTGATGTTCAAGTTTAACAGGTTTAGGACTACTTTGCATACTTAGAAGCACAGGGCACACCCAAATGACATTCCTTAAGCCAGAACTGAGCCATCCCTGGACAGAGCCAGCCTTCGCTGAGCGCTATGTGCAAGAGCCTGTGCTTGGCAGTTTAATTCTCATAAGGGAATTAAGTACCTACGGCTCAGGTGTCCAGAGACTGAAGAGTGAAGTGGAAGTCTGTGGAGACTTAAGAAAACACCTCTAGCATCAACACAAAGGAACTGCCCTACTGGACCTCCAGATAAATACTCCACCCATCCAATGAGCTCGTCTCCAAAGAGGAATGTCATCTGGCTGGGCTATAGGAGACAATGTAAACATTTTAAGCTGTGGCAGAGTTGTTTCCAAAGAATTTATCCAGCATAATAAGCCAAAGAGGCTATGTCAGTGAATCACTTCAAATTCCTCAGTGCATTGAAAGGCAAGTAAAACTACAATTTCATATTCACATCTCAGGAGATCACCAGTTCACTGACTGCCTTCTCGATGAGTTCCTCTGTAGACAGAAAACTAGTGTGCAGTTGATGAGTTTAGCATGTGTAATTAACTCTTCACTTCTAAAGGAAAGCATCACTGAATCTATGTTGGAGTTTAAAGGACCTACTACCATTTGTATTAGTAATATTAACCTGAGAACTAGAAAAAGGTGCAAACACAGTCTCTGCCTTTGGCACAAGGACAGTAGGCGCTGCAGCCCAGTTCGAGGTGATGACGTATGCTGGGCAGCTGCCCGTCCACTTTTCACCTGACTGAGCTCACAGAAGAAAAGCAATCCAAATGACTGTGGCTTAGCTATATATTCTGCTTCTTCCAAGTTCCAAACTGTGAAAGTAGGCAAATAATTTATCCTATCAGGGCACTACTAAAATAAAGAGGTTTTAATAAGATTACTCATAAAATACACTAATTGGAGGCAAAGAGAGTTAACTTAAAGTAAAGCTAAAGTTCCCACCCCTTTTGTAAATAGCTTTTAATCTAGAAACTTCTAATGCTAATCTAGTTAAAGACAATTATAACTGAAGACAGAGACACAATAAGCACAGTGTGTTCACATTAACTGATGTTTAATTTGCTACCATTAAACATGACTCCTACAAAACTTCAAGTTTCTAATTATGACTGATGGTATTTTTTAAAAGGCAATTTGGTAGCTTAGTTCTTCTCACTAACGATGCGATCAGCTAGCAGAATTCAAGTCCTAGTCCTCTGATCTCATTCTTACATAGCCAACAAGTCTGGCTGTCAGTGCGGAGGGACTGGCAGCCGGAGGCATGTGTCCCCATAAGGCTGGTCAGTGTCACTAATGGAACCCCCCCCCAAACCTGAGGGAAGGGGTTGCTCATGACTTCGGGAGTGTTGGATAAGGGTGGTGAAGTAACAAAGTACAATAGTAAATGCAACATGATTTTACATTGTAAACATCTTAAAAGTTTAAAGTTGCAGCTAGTTTCTCCTGAAGTTAAAAGTCTGTATAACCCCAGGCCTCCCATTTTTATCAATATGCTTCACTAGGGACGTGATGATAAAGATTTTGGCAAAAAATCCATTCAGAAACAACATATTATTTCTAAAGTACCAAATGTTGCTTTTCTTTTTGATGTATCATTATTTTACATTTTTCAAATGCCAGATGTTTCTCTTTACATTTTTGTTCTAGGCTTCTATTAAGCATTCCATATTTTAAAAATTTATTTTTGACAGATTAAAAATTGCATATATATTATCATATACATGTTTTGATGTATATACCATGGAAGGGCTAAATTAGTTAATATATACATTGTTTCATATAGTTTTCATTATAGAGTCCATTATTAATGGCACTTGTTTTTAAAAATGCAACAGAGTTTTAGGCACGATAGTCAGTTACTTCTGGCTCTATGTTACAGGCAAGTGTGTGAACTGAACAGAACACTCCAGGCTGTTTCCTGGGTGCAAACATTCAGTCAGCCTGACTCCAATCTCTGGACCTGGGGTGTGCACCCATATGACATGATCCCAAGTGATATGTTTTCCTGTCCCTCAGTGGCCACACATCTGCCTTCCCAGGAAGCACCTCAAGTTGTACCTCTGAGCTTTCAGTAGCAAAATCCCTTGGAGCTTCCCACTTAGGCCGTCTCCTGCTTGAAGAAGGCATGTCCTCACTACCCTGTACAGATACTTGCATTTGGTTTGTTTAAAAATCACCTATCCTGATTAACCTGTAAGAGTGAAGGATATAAACAACTATACAAATACATTTCCTTCCAGATTCATAAAATTATTCATACTTTTTTGACACAGGAGTTATTGCCAAGTCCACCTGGAGTGTCTACTGTTTAGAAGGAAACGGAGCAGCACCAAATGGGTCTAATTCGACTGGTTGGGGCTGCTGGGACTCACGAGGTGCAACAAGTTCTGTAAAGGGCACGGCCCCAAAGTCATCCATTCTCAACGCATCTGCACTATGGAATGACCCGTGCACTGAATTCTGTCTTGGCCTCCCAGGCAAGAGGGTATTGTGATCAACACAGATGTCGCTTAGGCCCTGATGGGACTGGTGCCACGCCAAGTCTGGAGGATGGAAAGGCTTGGCACCAAAGGGGTCCAGCAGACTCTCTTCGGGTTGCAGGACACTGGCCCTGTCTTTGCTATCGGTCAGTGCGACGCTGATGTTCTCCTTCGAGTCAGAAATGGTTAAAAACTCACTGCTGCTTTGCGAGTCTCTGCGGCCCACCTTCTTGTGTCTGCGAGCCCTCTCGGGGGTGCGGTAGGGAGGCTTCAGGGGCTTCTTTGCGCTAGTGGGTGTGCCGTGGTGGCGCTTCCCATTGCTTTTGGCCACGTCCTGCTTCGTGCGCCTCTGGCGACAAGTCAGTTTCTGCAAGCTGCGCTGTTTGACTTTCTGCGGCTGACTCCCGGTTATTTCCTCAAAGGGCACGAGTCCAAAAGCATCCTCCCGGCTCTCACTTCGACTCGCCGATGTGGAAAATGGCTGAAAGGGAGTGGAGCCAAACACGTCTACACTTCTGGGCCGTGCAGGCAGCGGGCGCGTGCCAGACCCCGCTGCGGGCCAGTCCTGTACATTCACCTTCTTGTTGAAGGGTGCCTTTGTGAAGACGTCAAAGTCCTCCTGCTCCGTAAACGTCTCCTGGGAGAGGCTCTTCCCATTCCCCCTGTGCTGCTGCTGCTGCTGCTGTGGAGCGGGCACCGCGAAGAAGGGAACCGCACCGAACACATCAAACTCCTGGCCAGAAGTCAGCGCATCAGTTGGTGAACAGGCTGGGGAGAGGAGAGCTGGGTCAGGGGCTGGGCTCCGCCCCCCACCAGTTTCGCACTTGGCCTTAGCCTGTTCATACTCCGAGTCAGAGCTGTGTTTGTCCTCCTCTTCCTCATCTTCCGAGTCCATGAGCAGAGGCCTGTGACCCAGGTTCTCCGGCTCCGTGTCATCATCATTAAAGTCCCCGTGTTCTCCCTGAACGTCCTCCTCATCTTGTTCTTCTTCACTGCTCTTAGGAGAAGGGGGGTCCGATTCAAAATCGCTTTCAGATTCGTCATGCCCCCTCTGCGCTTGACCCCGGACCGATGGGTTCTCTGAGGTTTTCTTCACAGCCCGCTGATCTTTACATAGGGGACTTGCGCTCCCATTTTTGGTAGGGTTTGCAGTGATAATTTTTTGATTTGGAGAACGTTCAGTTTTCTTTTCAGGAGAACCTGAAGGTTCAAAGAAAAGTCATTACGGTATTCAGAGTTTCAGTATCCACTTGTACTAAGCATGTGACATTACAGATCTCGCCAGTTCCTTCTCTGACCTTGTCCTGGGTAGATGGTTAGGGCCTGTAATGCAGGCAGTGTGACTTATGCTCATCTCCATAGGCTTAGCATAGCCCCTCACTACAGAGAAACTGCATTCACAGTACCTGCACTATAGCAGGACCCTCAACGGGACAAGGATATTAATGGTCTTCTCCACTGTCAAAATCACAACACCCACTCTCTTTACTATATAGTCTCTGCCTACCCACATGTCAGCATGTTGTTCTGTGTTACATCTGCACTCTGCTCTCGAAAATTGGGTATTTTAAGTTCATATCCATGTGTCTCACATAGACTGATCAGAGCTGAGAACCAACTGGCATAGCCACTATCAAAGACACTTAATGAGACTGCACCAAAGCTGTGTGGCTTCCATGGCAGGAACATCTTTAACTAAGAAACCTTAATGTATCTAAGAATGTGCTACTGGTCTTCTGAACTGGGTGTTTTCAGAGGTGAGAATCAATTTGTATTGACCTAATTACACACACTTATCTCTTCTCCTTATGACTAAGGGGTTTTTCCAATTATCGAGGACTGGAAGTACATTATGAAGTCATAAAAACTAATTAGCCGATGGCAGAAGAACTATTACTTTCCATCATGCACACAGTGGTCTCTGGAACAGTGGCCTCAGCTATTTCCTTCTCTTTAAAATGCACACTCACATTTACAACCCTGTAGACCTCTTTCTTCCACTAACACCTTGAACACCTTAACTACGTACATCCCCCAGAGGTCTAGCCTTGGCCACTTCTCCTTTTATATTCTCTCAAGTTCTAAACTTACAGTGACTGCCTTGTACACCGGTAGTTCTGGTTGACACTAGTCTTCTTAACTCGAATCTTTATCCTAAATTCCAGTCTGACATCTCTAATACTTAGCTCCTGAGACTGTGCCTTCTACTTGAGTACTTGAAAGGTGGGAATTTCAAGACACCACCTCCCCTTTTAGGATGCACGTGTCTCCAGTTCCCGCTAAATTAACTTCACCTCCACGTAAGCAGGCCTCCTGGCCAGCAGACATCCAGGCCATCTCTGTACCAGTTATTGTAGCCTTGGTTTCCTGGATCTACAACATTGTCTCTGGTTAATTCATTCCCGTGTGACCCCTCCCAGAGAGACTCGGCTTCCCAGTGTGCTTCCCCTCCTCAGTGAGCACCTTCACCGGCTCACCATGAGGTGGCCAGCACTCAAGCACTCACAGGACTCTCTAGTTGCTCTGAAACTTTCCACTGTGTGTGCGTACAAACGCCGAACTCTTCTGTGACTGTACTATATCCACAGCTGGGCTCTTCCTATGAAAACTCAGGAACTGAGAGCTACCTAGCTCCTGAAAACTTGGCAGCAGAGTTGGGAATGCAGCAGACGATGGGAAGTCCGAGGGCTTTGCTGTCTCAGCGTCTCTCCTGCTCTGTAATACTGCTCCTCAGTATGAAAGCCCTTCTACTTCGCCGCCATCCACCTGATGGACTTGTGAGCGTGGCTGCAGGAAAAGACACGGCTCACGTGACAGCCCTTTCAAAACTAACCCGAAAGGTACCTTCCACACTTGGTGTATCTGAGGGACTCTTACAGCCCTTCATAGCAGGCCAATCATTACTATCTGACACATCCCACTGATTAACCTTTGTATCCTAGCACTGCACAACGGTTACTAAAATGACTGCTGAGGTCAGCAACTATTATCTATATAAGGAAAGTGATGGAAATGCAGTCACCATCTGGAGGAATTTTTGCCTCAGACTCAGTCACCTGCATTTTCTTATTACGTCTAACAGCATAGCACTTTACTATGTGCTATACCTTTAGGATGCATTAACAAAAATGCTGTCTGCTTTCAGGAGTGTGCACTTGTAGTATATCAGCCCTCAAAAATGTCAATATGTGCTCCAAAATCACAGTAGGGAGAATGGGTGCATAAACCTACCGCTGGCACGAGAAGACTGGACTGAAGTATGAGGAAGAGCCAGCCGGGGAGAAGATAAGTTGCTAGCTGTTCCAGATAAAGAGCACTGGCACCATGAGGCTGTGAAAACGGGAATGTGTGACTGAAGCATGGCAAGAAGGGAGGGCATGTGCTTTGTAAACTCAGCATTGGGGAGACAGAAGACAGATCCCTGGTGCTCACTGGCAAACCAGCTAGCCTACTACATGAGTTACAGGATAGTGAGAGACCACGTCATAAAGAAAAGACAGAGGACAGAGAAACAGATGCAAAGAGGAACAGAAGTTAGGAAGGGGGTAGGTAGGACCAACGGGATAGTTCACTGGGTAAGAGTACTTGCCACTAAGGAATGACAACCTGAGTTCAGCCCTGGGATCCTTGTGGTAGAAGGGGGGAACTGACCTCCACAGGTGGGCCATGACAAGTGCGTGCATACAATACAAGCTCTTCCGATAACTAATTGTGGTGACTTTTTAAAGTAGAAAATGGCACTCATGTTGTCCTCAGCCTCCACAGCAGTTGGAAGAATGAGACTGGAAACAGAACATGAGCTAAATGATGCTACTATTTACATGGAAAGAATGACTTGGAAGATGTTCAAAGCATGGTTTGGGGCTCCTGGTATGCTTGTGAGGCAGCTGCGAAAACACTGGTTGTAATATGAATTTTAGTTTTAGCTGAAGAAAACAGACTTGGAAGCTACTACTGTGTAGTACAGAGTGATGACAACAAGACTACAAGATCATCACCTCATAGTGTACACAGACTATAGGATCATCACCTGATGGTGTACACAGACTACAGGATCATCACCTGATAGTGTACACAGACTACAGAATCATCACCTCATAGTGTACACAGACTATAGGATCATCACCTGATGGTGTACACAGACTACAGGATCATCACCTCATAGTGTACACAGACTACAGGATCATCACCTCATAGTGTACACAGACTACAGGATCATCACCTGATGGTGTACACAGACTACAGGATCATCACCTGATGGTGTACACAGACTACAGGATCATCACCTGATGGTGTACACAGACTATAGGATCACCACCTGATAGTGTGCACACACTACAGGATTATCACTTGACAGAGTACAGAGAGATGACAGCAAGACTACATCATCACCTGATAGTGTACACAAGACTACAGGATCATCACCTGATGGTGTACACAGACTACAGGATCACCACCTCATAGTGTAGAGAAGACAGCAAGACTAAAGGATCGTCACCTGATTGGTGTACAGAAGAAAAGATTCAAAACCAAGCCCAGGTGCATAGAACTAGAAGTCAACCAAGGAAAAGCAGCTGCCTGCAAGGCAAGGTGAAAATTGCTAGCCACACAGGAGCAAAGCCATGTGAGTGCAATGCATGGACGAAGACCGTGTGCTTCCAGGAGTGACAGGCACCGGAGCCCATAGCACAGCCCTAAGGAACCAAAACCAGTCCTCAGAGCCTAGTCATCTTTCACAGTTTGCTGACAACCTTGACCTTAGTAGTGAGGCTAAGAGTGACTGGGAGAGAACAATGCAGAGAATTACACTAGGAAATACTTCTAAGTGGACATCATCTTCTGCCCAGTCCTTAAAATTAGCGAAGAGCTGCCATGTTGTTTGTTATCCTTAACAAACCAGAACCACTCAAAGGCAGATGCTCACGTTGACTGTGCTCCCCATACAGCATTTCTTTGATATTAAAAAGCAAAAATGACTTTTAGAGTAATGGTAGATTTTCATGGATTTTTAGTGAAAACAAAATCCATAGAGTCCCAGAGGACTCTGAATCACCCCTCACTCAACATTTTCTCTAATAAGGCACTTAGGCCACTCACAGGTAGCTATGCATGTACCCCACACACTGCTCAGACACCTGCAGGGTTGCGCAATTAACCCTTAACAAGAATGAAACAAGTCACGTGGTCTCACGGAACCAAACCCATGGAAGGCTGCATCTGATGTTCTGCCTTCATTTTTCCTCACCTGTTGTATGCTACACAAAAGAATCTAATTTTATGAAACCTATATGCCCCAAATTTGCTTCTCTCTGCTTTCATGTAATATAACATATCAACCTGTATAAACAATCAGGAGACATGTACCTGGGTAAATCCAACCCATAGCTCTTCTAGGAAACTCTCCAGCCCCAGGGAACTTAAGTTTATCCCTGGATGTCAGGCACTGTTGGTAACCTCCCCTCTTAAGATTTATTTTTTGTTGCGCGTATGTGGTTGTTTTGGCTGTATGTTAATGTTTGTGCACCATATGTGTATAGTCCTCAAGAAGGCTAGAAAAGGGCACCAGATTTCCCAGGTGGTTGGGAGCCTGGGATGGGGATTGAACCAAGGTCCTTTGGAAGAGCAGCCAATACTCTTAACCACTGAGCCATCTCTGCAGTTCCCTTTCTTAACAAGGCAAATGAAGTAAAACCTGTTACCATCCTATTTCACTCATAGGGTTACAGTAGAGTAGCGGTCATCCTGGCAGGATGGTTTTCTTAGGTCTTTGTTAATTATACATGGGAAAGAAATGACAATAAATGGCTTTAACGTAAAAGTGAAATCTAGAAGAAGTGGCTTTCCCCTTTTTGTCCCCTCAAGGAAAATGTGCACAAACCAAGGTTCTTTTGATGGAAATGTGGGAAAACTAGAAACAGCCTAGGTATTGTAATAATAGTTCGGATGTACATGCATCACCTTAGCATGCTTTCCCAGAAAACCACTTGAAAAGAGCATGGAAACGGTGAGTAAAACAAGACAAAAAAAAATTAAATCCACAGCCAGTTACAAAAGCAGCTTTGCACAGTTCTTGCCACTAAGAAAGGTGTTTCTGCAGATACGATGTTGTGCAGCTGAGGAAGGACCATCAAAGGGAGAGGAGAGAGCCCGGTGCCTGCTGGACAGTACACAGGCCCGGGGATGGGAACAGTCATCTGTGT